GAGGTGCTGGGGGACCCCCACCCCCGTGGGGTGTCTGGGGGTGGGGCACGGTCCTGGGGGACCCCCACCCCCATGGGCTGCCTAGGGGGGGCAGTGCTGGGGGACCCCCGACCCCCGTGGGGTGTCTAGGGGGGCAGTGCTGGGTGGGAGCACTCAGGTACGGAGCAGGGCTCGGCCAGGCCCCGTTGTCCCCCGCGGGGTAGCTCCAGGCTCCCCGTTCCCTGGCCCCGCAGCACTGCGGAGGGAGGGGGGACGCCCGTCCCGGTGGGCGCCGAGCCCCCTGCCCCGGCGCAGGCGGGGTCCCCGCTGCCAGCACCGCACTCGCACGGGCAGCGCGGGTCTCACCGCGGGCAGTGCCTGTGCTGCAGACAGAACCTTTGTTCCCCTCCTCCGGCCCGCAGCCCCCCGTTTGGTGCGGCGCGAGCGTGACAGCATTGCCCGGCTCGGGGGGCTCGGTCGTTGGGAAGCAGGAAACCGTTGCAGGTAACGGCAGCGGTCGCCTCGAGACCAGCGACTAAGCACGCGAGCCCTCTGCAGAAACAAAGGTTCTCTTTTATGCAGATATTTCCAGCAGCAAATGTAAAGACGGGCGAGAGCAGGTCCGGGAGGCCAGTGCGCCTTGAGGAGCGTTACAGAAGCAGAGCTGTCTGCATTCGGAGACGCTCGCGTTAAACGTTTTTTTTGGGGGGAAAAAACGTGTCCTCTTTCACTTGGATCAGCTGCTGTTTGTAGCTGCGGGTTTTGGGGTTTGTTTCCAGTGTAATTCACCTTTTTCCTCAGCGTGGTGCTGGAAACCTTCAGTCCATCTGGGAAATGGTGGCTGGCTTCCTCGCACGGGGCGTGGCGGAGCAGTTCCGTGACAGACTCCTTGGGGATGAAGGGATCTGCACCATAGGAAAAAACCAACAGAGTCACTCTGGATTGCCTGTGGAAACTCCTCTGCTAGTACAGTAAAAAAGAACTCGTTTTGCAGGTGTAACTCTTAACATTAAATTTAAATGTTTGCCGAGCTGTAGCTTCTTATTTGTGAAACATGGGAAAAGCTTGCTTCCGAGCAGAGCGTGGCTTCCAGCCCTTCCCGGGAGCACGTACCGCGCTCAGAGCTGTTCTGACCCGCGCTGGGGAACGGGAGGTTCGGACAGGTCACCTGCACCCCCCCATCCGGATGAAATTTTGGTTCTAAATTAAAGGTCGAGCCGAAACGTGACTGGAAATGAAGAGAAGCTTTAAGGAATAGCATTTAGGAAGGACCGTAAGGGGCGCGAGCTGGAGGGGTCAGCTGTCGGATTGGAAAAATTTGGATTTGGAGGAGGGGCAGGAACAGCTCAGCCTTGGGATAATTGATAAGTGGGCTAATTCGCGTGTGTGCATTATGGCTGTTTAGTGGCCGAGAAGAAAAGGAGAATTGTTATGGCCAAATACTGTCTTTCACGTGGTCTAGTGAAGACAGAGTATAGCTCTTCTGGCTAGGAATATTCCGTCTGCTGGGTACGTGAGAGTACAAACTGGAGCCCTCGTTAGTCAGCAGAATATTTGAATAATTGATTGAATTAAGGCTGGGCCACGTACCTCGGCTTGTAGCCCGTGATGTTGTAGGTTGTGTGTTAAAAGCTGTGCGTCTGCCCGTGTAGAACACCGGCACTTCGCATCGCTGTCTTTAATCAGTGCCTTGAATGTTTCCGATGAATGCACTCGCTTTTGCATTTGAAGGAATTAATTTTCCCCTCTGCAAGGCGTCTGAATGGCATCACGGGGCGTCTCGCACGCCTGTCCCAAGTGTGCTGCAGCGGTCCTGCCTCGCTCCGTGCCGCCGGCGCTGCCGCGGTCTCACCCCACGGCTGCGGCGGCCTTGTGCTGGGGCGGCGGTGCAGAGAGC